CTGTGTTGCCCAGGCAGATCTCCAAATGCTGAGCTCAAGCGATCCGCCTGCCTCCCCTTCTGAAGTGCTGGGATTCCCGGTGTGGCCACTGCACCCACCACTCCCTTGCCTCCTCTCCCAAGCTTGCCCTCCTGTCCTCCTGCTTTCCCTTAGAGAAACTCATATGATTCTGGACCCGCCCTCTGGCATAATCTCAAAATCCTTAATCCCATATCTGGGGCCACAATTCAGCCAACCACAAGCTTGAATTTGGGGAATGGGCCATGGGCCAGGGAGAGCATGCTCCTGGCAGTGCAAGGGTGGGGAGGCAGGAGCCAGCCATCTGCAGCAGCCCCACTCCTGCCCTCCAGGAGCTGCACCTCCTCCTACAGGTGAGGACTTAGCACTGTGCCCACCTGGAGTATGCAGGTAGAGAAACCACAGGGCTGCGTGATGAGGGACTGATAGGAAAAGAGGACCAAGGGGCCCGGGGCCAGGTTGTGTGGGGCCCCGTGGCATTGGCTGTGAGATGGGAGCCCCAGGGATCCAATCTGACACCCCTTCCCAAGGGGTACTCAATGGGCTGCGTGTGGCTTGTGAGGAGCTGGTGGCCGAGGCAGTAAGGGGAGGCAGGAGGGTGATGCAATTGGCCAGGTGGGAGGGCAGCTCACCCATACTAAATGACCTCCCAGGAGGGTACCCCTCCACCAGCCCAGGCTCCAGGACTGAGGCAGGGGGTATGGACAGGCACCCAGGGGGCCACAGTTCTGTGAGAGTGCGGGCACCAAGGCCTGGTCCCGCTGGCTTGGAGTGTGCAAGGATGCGGTCCCTCCTGCACTGCCACGGCTTCCCCTGGGCCCACCCTCACCACCTGGCTCTGGCACATGGACCTTTACAGCAGCTTTATTTACCACTGCCCAAATGTGGAAACAACTGATATGTCGGCAGGTGAATGGAAAAACTGTGGTACCTCCAGACAATGGAATACTATGCATCTCTAAAAAGAAATGAGGCCAGGCACGGTGGCTCATGCCTGTAATCCTAACACTTTGGGAGGCTGGGAGGATGGATCACTTGAGGCCAGGAGTTTGAGACCAGCCTGGCCAGCGTGGCAAAACCCCTGTCTAAAAATACAAAACTTAGCCAGGCTGGGTGCAGTGGCTCAGGCCTATAATCCCAGCTACTCAGGAGACTGGGGCACAAGAGTCGCTTGAACCTTGGGAGGTGGAGGTTGCAGTGAGCTGAGTTCCTGCCACTGCACTCCAGCCTGGACAACAGAGCGAGACTGCCTCAAAAAAAAAAAAAAAAAAAAAAAAAATGGAAATGCGCTCCCAGGCCCTGGGCATAGTGTATGTTCCCAACTACGGGACATTCTGAAACAAAAACAACTATGAGGACAGGAAGATCAGTGGCCAGTGGAGCTAGGCTGGTAGAGGGGAACAGGTGGAGCCCAGAGGACCTTAGGGTGATGTGTGGCATGACACCTTTGCAACACCCAGTGTATATCAAGTGACCCCATGATGTGAACTGCAGACTTTGAGTGGTAACACAGAACCTGTTGTATTAGAAGTGTCCATGATTTTTGAAAATCTAAAATATGAATATTGGGTTCAACAGCAGAGACAAAGGCACTGCATGAACCTGACCTGTTACTGACGGGAGAGAGGGCAGATGTCTCTGTACGTCCTACTCAATTTTCCTAAAACTATAAAACTGCTCTAAAAAATATTAAATTTCATGTTTGTAGTGACTGTCTGGGCATTTCTTTACGTTACAGACGTACCAGGAGGACCACAGCGCCCACAGCCTGGCAGCTGCCGCACCACACCTCACCCGATGCTGAGTGCAGCTGCTCCTGTTTGAGGAGGCTGTTTGGAAGCAGCCCGTCTTGGGACTCAGAAATCAAGGTCTCCGCCTTCCCCTTCCTCGAGAACACCAACCTCTCAATGAACTTTCACTTCTTATTGCGGTTAGTAGTTTTTAGCAAGTTATTTTTATCTAATAAAAACAATATACAATATACAGTTTAAAAAATGCAAACCCTACAGGAGTTCGAGACCAGCCTGGCCAACATGTGAAACCTCGTCTCTACTAAAAATAAAAAAATCAGCCGGGCACAGTGGTGCATGCCTGTAGTCCCAGCTACTTGGGAGGCTGAGGCAGGAGAATCTCTTGAACCTGGGAGGCGGAGGTTGTAGTGAGCCAAGATTGTGCCACTGCACTCCAGCCTGGGCAAGAGTTACTTGTCTCAAATTAAAAAAAAAAAAGGGCAAAGGATTTAGATGTTCCTCCAAAGACACACAAATGGCCGCCAAGTACCTGTGATGCTCAACGTCAGGACCCCTTGGGGAAATGCAAATCAAAACCACAAGGCGAGGCCTTGGAGGCCCAGCTGCTCAGCGGCTGCAGTGAATAGTCTGAGGCTTCTTGGAAATTCACACAGAGCTCCACGTGGCCCCTCCTAGGTGTATCCCCCAGAGGAGTCAAAGCAGGTGCCCAAAGCTATCCCAACGTGGGTGCCCTGCCCTCTGGAGTCTGTTCACCCTGTGCAGGACCTCCAGCTTGGCGGGAGAGGCTTCCTACAGCACAGGAGTCTGCACTGTCCCTCACATATCCAGCTTCTGCCCTGGGGCTCTGCTCCTACAGCTGTGTCTGGCCATTGTGGGCACCAATGGAGGGGGCCCTGGGGCTCCTGCACCTTGGCTGAGAAAGAAAATGACAAAACCCTGAGAACAGTGACAAGCCAACGAAGACAAGAGGTGACACCAGCCCAACAATTCCAAAGGTTTATTTCCTTAAATTGATATTACACAATATAACGCAAAGGGCAGGAAATCACACAAAATTTGCTTTAAAATAGACAAAGGGTCCAGCACTATCAAGAGAACATTCAACCAGGGGCGGCAGTTGAGGCGCCCAGGACCTGCTTGGACACACGCACACGCGGCCGCGACGGAAGCAAGAGGACCAGGACGCCAGGCAAGATCCCCGTAGTGCCAGCTTCCCAGGACTCAAGATTCCAGTCGGCCATGAAGCAATAAATACTAACATGCCCCACAAGGTGAGAATAAAGCCATCAAGGTGATGAGGAAGAAATCACGGGGATTTTCTTCTTCTAAGTCCAAGCACAGTGGCAATATTTCAAGTATTGCAAAGAAAAACACACATGTGTGTATTTTTGTCTGTTATGTGGTGTGTGACCCTGGAACCCCCCGCGTGGGTCCATGGCCCCACCGCTGCCTCCCGCAGACTGGGGACTCGTTCAAGTATCTACTGATCCAGGCTGGGCAGACCAAGGGAGGCCCAGGCAGGGTTTGCAGCACATGCCCGCCTGGAATCCGGAAGGCAGGCCTCTCTGCGGACACCTTCAGTGGCCCTGAGCAAGGCCGAGGCAGGGAGGGACAGGGCTGTCATCAGGCCTACCCTGCCGAGGGGCTGACACCACAGCTGGCTGTCAACGCTGGACGGGGAGCTTTTGCATATGTTACTTTTTTCCTTGCATGAAGTATTCCCCTCATCTGCCCCCAGGCCCAGGTGGGGAGGGTGCTGGGCACACACCTGTCCTGCTGCAGCCACTGACCCAGGTGTGCACAGAGCAGCCTCACCTGCCTGCCATACGCCCCTGCGCCATCTGCCTCTAACCTGGCCCAGTCCTCGCCCTCCCAAAACCAATTCTTAAACACCTACAAGTTTTCTCCTTTAAAGAAAAAATTAGCTGCATAAAAATAAGACACATTTTAGGAATAAAGTGTGAAAGATTACAAGACGTATCCAGGGCTTAGAGAACACAGTGCCTCTGCTGCCGGTCCCTAGAGGAACGCTTGAACAAAGAACTGCCTCTGCCTCTGGTGCAGGGCCCCACTCACCCCGGAACCAGTTCTCCCCTTGAGGTCCAGACCTGGGCAGCTCCGTGGTCCGGTGCTCAGGCTTGGGGGCCCTGGCATGTGTCCGCTTATGTGTATGTACAAACACCAGGCCACTGCCAGGAATCACCGCCCAGCAGTCCCTAGTGAGGTCCAGATTCTGTCTCTATCTGCATAAAGTGCTTGGGTGATTGACAAAGCTGGGTGGGTATCTCGGAGGGAGAGGCTCCTGGAGACTGGGGGACGCCGAGGCCGCAGGCTCTTCCTGGGCACAGTGACTGCTGACCTGCCCGAAGCAGGAGCTCGCTTTGGCTTTGAGTCGGCAGCGGTCTCAGGCCCTTGCCTGTCCTTCAGCGCTGCCCCGGGGCTAGAGGGTGGTGGCACCCACGCCTGCTGTGCCAGGTAGCCAGAGGGGCAGAAGTTCTGTGATCCCCACCTGTACAAGATGGGAGACACCCCCAAGCTGTGTGGCTCCAGGTGTGCTGGTTCTGCCCCGTGACCCGCAGGGAGGCCGGCAGGCTGACTGTCCGTGGGGCCCAGGGCAGGGCTCAGCACCAGCGATCAGTGCCATGGGCTTGTCCCGAGGAGTCCAGCCAGCACAGAGCCCACCCTGCAGGGCTCGGCAGGACCAGGGCCCAGCCAGACCAAAAAAGGTCAGGCACAGATGCCAGTCAGCAGCGCCGAGAGTCTCCGCTCAATGCACAGCTTGCCTGTGGAGGGAGAGGGGGGAGCGTGAGGGAGACGCCCAGAGCCCTCAGCCCCCAGCCCAGCCTGGCACTCACACTTGGCGACGTTCTCGATGTCGGCCTGGTCTGAGAGCATGTGCTGCAGCCCTTCCAGGAGCAGCAGGGCCTTGTGGTAGCGCGGGACGCATCCCTCACGGTGCTGGAACATCTCGTCCAGGGCGGCCGACTGCACCTGGGGGCGAGGGCAGAGGCTGGACAAGGCCAGCTCACCCCACTCCCTCCCAGCGAGGGCTGCCCTGCACCCATGGCAGCGGCCCAGGGGTGGCAGACAGGCCCTCAGGGCAGTGACATGGGGGGGTGAGTGCTGGCGCAGCCTGCGGTGCAGAGGGGATGGTCACAGGGCCAAGAGGAGACGCTGCCTGGAACCAGAGGACCCTGGCCAGCACTGTCAGCCCCACCCCAGGACAATAGAGTGCCCGCCAGTCAGTCAGTGTCATTACTGCTGCTGCCTGGCCTGCCTGGGTGGGAAGCAGGGGCAGGAGGGAGGCTGACTTTTCCCATGTTTGTTCAGACTGCATTTTTACTGCATGCATACATTTTCTTAAAAAAGAAGACTCAGGCACTCCTGAGTTTTTGCCTGTAATCCCAGCATTTTGGGAGGCCGAGGCACGATGATCACTTGAGCCCAGGAGTTAGCGGCTGCACTACGCTTCAGCCTGGGCAACAGTGCAAGACCCTCTCTTAAAAAAAAAGAAAAGAAAAAAAAGGGGGGACCCCACCTCAGAGGCAGAGGAAGCTCTTCAGAGCCCAAGCAGGGAGCCTGTGCCCGCGGTACCAGCTGAGTGCACCACACTTCTAGGCAGGTTGTCTGGGACCAGGTGCTGCTTCTGGAGGCTGACACCTGACTACGAGGCCTGAAGACCAAGTCTCTCATTTTACAATTGGGGAAACTGAGTCTCAGGAAGAGGCATGGCAGGATGCACATGGGCCATGGCACCCATGCAATCAAGGATGCACCCAGCCAAGCTGTAAGCGCCTGCAGGAGGCTGGGGGCATCATGCTATCATTTCGAGACCTCCAGAAGTGACACCCCCCAAAGTTTCACCAAGCTGTGGGCATCAAGGTCCCCTCCCAGTGCAGACAGCTGGCCTGGAAGTTCCTGGCCCCTGCCCCACCGGTGTCTGTGTATCCCGTACCATCTGCACAGCATGGCTGAAGATCAGCCTCTCGGCAGTGATGCTGTGGATGCGGTCCAGGAGCCGCTGCTTGTCCAGGAAGAAGCGCTGCAACCGCAGGCTCAGGCCTTGGCAGGACACCACGCTGGCCTTGTACAGCTCATTCAGCCTGCGCACCACTGCAGAGGACAAGGGTGGTCAGCTCAGGGTGCCGCAGACACGGGGCAGGGCTGGAGTGGTCATGAACTGCCCTGCGCACTGAGCGAGCACGTCCCTCCCTCCCTGCCACAGCCCTGGCTCTCTGTGGCCTTCAGTGTGCGGCCAGGCTCAGCACCTTGTCCCGGGTGCCATCCGACCCCATGGCCACTGTGCCCTGCACACTGGGCCAGGCCCCAAGGCCTTTGCACCTTTGCACAGGGGCCTGCTCAGGCAGCCTCCCTGTCACCCGGACAGTTGCAAGGCGGGCTTCCTCCCCAACCCAGCATGTGGGTTGAGCGGTCACAGTCCTCACCCTGCTTCACGGTGGACGACAGGCAGAGCTTGCCGGCCCGGATCTGGTCGATGGCAGTTTGCAGGCCGGAGGACAGTAGCTCGGCCACCTTCAGGTACAGGACCAGCTGCTCCGCAAAGCTGGGGGTGGCAGGCAGATCAAAGGAGGCAAGTTGGTCCTGGCCCCCAGGCCACCACCCGCCCCACCCCACCCCAGCCCTGGCAGCACCCACCCCCATTCTCGGCTCAGCAGGCTGATCTGGTCGGCCACCACACTCTCCTGCAGCTGGTACTCAGGGCCCCCGGCCGCCTCGCTGGCACTGCCCTTCAGGGCTGCGATCTCCAAGACGTGCTGCACGAACAGCAGCGTGAAGCGCAGGCCACGCAGGATCTCGGTGTGCTCTTGCTGCAGGAAGCGGTCGTCAGGGTAGCACATGCTGCCCAGGCTGGGAAGAGGCTTGTCTCCCTTGAGACTCACTGATGACGCCTTGGGGAGGCAGGGCAGGGTCCCCTCCCTTGCTGTAGCCCGGGCAGCTGGGATGTGCCCCACCTGACACCCCACACCCGCTCCAGCCAGAATGGAAACCTTCGCTCACTCCAGCCCTCACCTCCATGAGGGTCTCCTCAGGGAGGTCGGGGGCCTCGAAGGTCACAGCCCCCTCCAGGTTGGCAGCAATGGGGTCGGCAAAGCTGCAGCTGTGTCCTGGAGCAGGGAGCTCGGGGGCTGGGGCCTCGCTGCAGGCCCCAGGCACCAGGTGGCGGGCAGAAGAGCCAGCGGAGCCAGTGGAGCCCACTGCAGGGAAAGGGCGGTGAGGGGCATGCCAGGACAAGCAGACACCGTGGCCCCCATCCCCCACAGGCTCCCACACCTCCAGGGCCCAATGTGCCTCTGCCTTAGTTTACACCCTGTTACCTCCCAAAACTCTTAACAGGAGAAGCAGAGCAGGTCCCTAGAGCCCCTACTCAACCTCTTGCCACTCACCACAACCCCCAGGTCCCCAGCTCCCCACCTCAGGCCAAGGGCTGCGGTGCCCATCAAGGGACCCTCTGGGTATCCCGACCCCCAGCCCAGATCTGCCTGGGAGAAGGGCAGCTGCCACTGTCTGGGATGGGGTAGGTGGGTGGCCTGGGGTGCTACTGTGCAACACGGGTGGGCCCGAGGGCCAAAAGGACCTCAAAGGGCAAGGCAGGCCACCCTCACTACGGGGCTGGCAGGTGACCCCAGCGATGGCAGCCCCTGGCCAGGACCAGATGCCCACAAGCCCACCCCTCCCCAGGCAGAACCCACAGTGGGGACCCAGCCAGGCCCCAGGCCCAGAGCATCCCCACACGCCACTGGCTGGGGAACCGAGGGGCACGCCTGTCTGCGACTCCTGACCAACACAGCACAGCCCACGGCAGCTGGGCAAGGAGGCCACAATCCAGACACCGTCCCTGCTCAGCTCATGTTTTGGGGATAAATGGGAACAAGTACCTATCACTCACAGGTTGAGTGGCAGGGGCCGCCTGCGGGGCAGGTACCAGAACCACGTCCATTTTGTAGACTGGGAGACAGAGCGTGGGTTTCTCAGGGGCCTGAGCTGCTTCCTCAGGCACCCCCAGGCTCTGGGGGGCCGCAGTCCAGCGACCCGAGTCAAAGGATGCCCCCCTCCTCTAGGGCGCTGCCACCACCCCAAAAGGGACAGGGCCTCAGCCTAGCCAGCCCTCACCTGAGAACATCCTGGTGCGGGGGCCCTGGGGCGGCGTGCTCCCACTCGGGGGAGAGCCCACGGTGAAGACTACCGGGGAGGGGCTGCTGGCGCCCCCAGCGCGGGCTCCTGGGTGCAGGCTCCCTCCACAGCCAGCTGAGGGTGCTGGGAGAGCAAGGAAGGGCTCAGGAGCATCCTGGCTGCCCGCCGCCCCCATCCCACAGCCTCTGAGCCCCACCCACCGATCTCCATGGGCTTCTCCTGCAGGCTCTCCGTGCTGCCCGGCTCCGGGGCTTGCGTCCCAAACGCTGCCTTAAGGAGCAGGTCAGTGAGGCGGCTGGTGCTGAAAGACCTGCGGGAGGGTGCAGGGCTGTGCTGGGGGCCCGGCCCACTCCACCCTAACTGGACCTTGAGGGGCCCCTCTGCAGGCCAGACACATGTAATGCACGGTCCCCTGGCCCACCTCGAAAGGCAGGCACTCCTGTCAGCCCAGCTTACAGGTGGGCATGGTGAGGCTCAGGACGGGGACCTGCTGGGAGTCTAGGACCAGCCATGGGTGGGCCAGGCTCTGGCACCCAGCCACACTGGGCACCCACAGAAGGGCAAGGCTAGGCTTTTCCTGTTCTACCCCCAAGAAGTACATAGCAGAACAATGCAGGGGAAAGGGGCAGCCCCCTCAGCAGCCCATCCAAGGCCTGTTCCCTCCAACTCACCGGCCAAAGGGACCCTTGGGGTCCTCGCCTGGCCGCAGGCCAGGGCCCAATGGCTGACCATGGAAGGGTCCCACCTCCGAGAGGTCGGGCAGTGTCCGGTTTCGAGGGGGCGCCATCACCATGCCCTGCCGGGCTAGGAGGGCCAGCAGGTTCTGGGAGCTGGGGGTCTTTGGGAAGTCGAAGGAGGGCACAGCCTAGGAGGACAGAGATGGGGTGAAGACTGCCCCGCAGGTCTGCAGCCCTGGGGCCCAGTGCCTGTGGGAGGTGGCCAAGTTGGCAGGAACTGGCAAGGTGTGTGGGAGTGGACTGAGCATGAGCCCAGGCGGGGGTCAGAAGGTACAAAGCTGCCTTCCTCAGTCTTTGTTCAGGCCTGGCCACTCCCACCCGTCTTCCCCAGGGCTCTGTGCCCCTCGACACATGGCAGCGCCCATTACCTTGGTGGGGGAGCCCAGAATGGGGGGCAGGGGGTTTCGCTGCAGGAAGTCGGGCAGCTTGGGTGAGCCCCGCAGGTTCCGGCAGGACTGCAGCCCGTGGGACGGCTGGGGAGGGCTGGCCTGTGGGGGGCTGAACACGGCTCCCAGGGGGTCCGTGGGGGGTTTGGGCAGCTTGGGGCGGACGACGTGCAGGTCAGACAGGTTGGGGGCACTGTGCAGGCGGCAGCCGAGCCCGGAAGTGCGGGTAGAGTGCTCGGGCACAGAGGAGCCTAGAGAGGAGGACAGGCCTCGTCACGACCTTCCGGTCCAGTGGCCTAGCCCTAGGCCCCCCTGCTGCCACACGGAGGCCCCTTGGGGTAAACGGTAAGGCTCCACTTTTTTTTTTTTTGAGACAGAGTCTCGCCCTGTCGCTCACACTGGAGTGCAGTGGTGCGATTTCGGCTCACTGCAAGCTCTGCCTCCCAGATTAAAGCTGTTAAAGCCACTGTTAAACCTGACCCCCAGCCAGCGCAGAAGACCGGCACAGAGGAGATGAGAAACCTGCCCCAGCTCACACAGCCAGGAGCTGGAGAGGCAGTTGGCTTCTGTTCCATGAGCTTCCCTCCCACTCCTTTTCACTTGTTAAAAGCAAGGGTTTTAGACCAGGATGACAACATGAGTGAGGGAAGTCAGCCTCGCACCCCCTCCCACCTCCGGACTGTACCTACCTGGACGAGGGGACCTGCCACCCCGCATCTCCGCTCCCTGTGGGGAGGGTGTCCCACTCCAGCCTGGCCGCTCAGGGATGGTTCCAACTTGGAGAAAAGAGAGATCTGCTAGGGTCAAGCTGGGACAGAGACAGCCTCCTCGCCCACCGCCTAGAGACGCCCCTTCCCAGGCCCCAGGCTGCAGGCGCACCTTGAGGGGATGGCGTGTAGGGCCGGCCCCCACCCAGAGACATCTTCCTGGCCAGGACGCCTCCATGCTCAGCGTGGGCAGGAGGCGAAGGGCTGGCCCTTGCAAAGCCCAGGGGGCTGGTGCTGCCTGACCTGCGGACGGCAGAGGACCTGGAGACAAGGCAAGTGTTAGGAGGGGAGGCCTCAGCAGCCCAGGACCCCATGCCATGCCAAGTGGCTACAGTGCTGACAGATGGCTCACTCTCTGCTGCACTCTGTCCAGGTAACTGGCCACACAGTGGGTGTGTGTGAGCAGCTGGCCCCTTAGCATTCCTGCCCAGGGCACCAACCCAAGGCATCCTCACCCTAAAGTCTCCGTGCCCTGACAGACACCCACTGGCCCACACAGCCTTCTGTGAGTTCAAAGAAAGGTACCCTTTCCTCCCAACATTTACTTCTGTCTATTAAAACTGGCCAAAGTCAATATTGATTTTATAAACACAAGAGATTTTACTGATCAGAAAACTGTCAAAGTAACTCTAGAAACCCAAGACATCAACAAAGTGAATAGTGGTGCTGAGTTACACAGTCCACAGTCTAGACAACTGCACATGGATGACGACCCTGTCCCTCTATGGAAGCCATGGAAGGGCTCCTGCTACACATACCCCTGGCCATGCCTGGCTACTTGGGAGCTCTGCACTCACCGAGGTGTTTGGAACTGGGTGGGTGACTGCAGGTTTCGCTCGATGCGCTGGTAGTTCTGCACCTGCGTGGGGACTGGGATGGGGACGGAGGCGCCGCACCTGCTGCTGGAGAACGGGCCAGCCCGGCTGTGGCGGAGAGAGGTCAACATCATGACAGACACTGGGGTCACAAGAGGCTGCGGTCATGGAGCTGGGGCACCAGAAGAAAGCCTAGGCCCAGACTTCCTAGCTACGACAGAGGCCACCCTGGGCCCCATGCCAGGTCTGAAAAGAGCCAGCTTCCGTGCCTCTACACACACCAGCACTGTGGCACCTGCACCCCACCTGGACTCCCAGTCTGCACCCAGCCAGTGGGAGGCCACCCTGGCTGGGGCCCTGGCCATTCCTGGCCCCACAGGCTCAGGGCTTACAACAGGACTGTGCTGGCCCTGGCATCCCTAGTTGGTTTCCTCATTCACCTACTCCTGTCAATACCCCTCCCACTATAGTCCCTTCTACAGGACGACCCAGCAGACCCTGCAGTCCTGCGAGGCCTGGGAGAAGGCAGGGCCCTCTAGACACAGCAGGCCGGGTCTGGCTGCGACACACAGGAAGCCCAGCCTCCAGCTGGGGGACTGTTCATAGCCCCATCCACCCAGCCTGGGCCCTGCTTACCCTGAGGGACTAGGGGAGCTGCTGCAGGGTGGGGATGGAGATGGGGTCCGGCCGTGGCTCTCCAGGCCCGCAGAGACCACCAGTGAGCTCCTGTGGGGCAGAAGGGAGGCCAAGGGCATTTTTTTTTTTTTTCGAGACAGAGTCTTGCTCTGTTGCCCAGGCTGGAGTGCACTGGCACAATCTCAGCTCAATGTAACCTCTGCCTCCCGGGTTCAAGCTATTGTCCTGCCTCAGCCTCCAGAGTAGCTGGGACTACAGGCATGTGCCACCAAGCCCAGCTAATTTTTTGCACTTTTTTTTTTTTTCTTTTTGGAGACTGGGTTTTACCATGTTGGCCAGGATGGTCTCGATCTCCTGACCTCATGATCCACCCGCCTCGGCCTCCCAAAGTGCTGGGATTACAGGTGTGAGCCGCCGCGGGACAACAACATTTTCTTTTTTTTTTTTTTTTGAGATGGAGTCTCGCTTTGTTGCCCAGGCTGGAGTGCAGTGGCACCATATCGGCTCACTGCAAGCTCTGCCTCCCGGGTTCACACCATTCTCCTGCCTCAGCCTCCTGAGTAGTTGGGACTACAGGCACCCTCCCAAAGTGCTGGGGTTACAGGCATGAGCCACTGCGCCCGGCGGTCAAGGGCATTTTCAAGTCACACGCGGCACAGAGCTCAGGCAGCCCTGTACCCCACCAGCCCCTCTCTGCAGTGGACGTGGCAGTCTCAGCACTCCCTAATGGGCTGATGACTCCAGGCAGGGATAACACGGGCCACTTCCAAGGCCACAGTTCCTCTCCCCTAAATTACAGAGGTAAGGGATGGGGGCTCACCCACTGCACATCAGGCTGTCTGGCGGGGGTTTGGCACTGGGCGCCTCAGCCACCAGGTCACCTGCAGGGGGAGACAAAGCTGGGCCTGGAGTCCTTGCTGCCTGCCCAGGGCCACGCCACCCCACCCCACTGAGGCTCTCTGCTGGATCCCCACACACACTCCACCTTGGAGGGGCCTCAGCTTGTACAGCGGCCTTGCAGGGTGCAGAGCCTGGGCGGTACGGTCCAGACTGCCTCCTCCCTGCCAGCCCCAGGCCAGTTCCGGGAGACCAGAGCACTGCCTGCCCCCCTTATCCCCACTTGGATTGTGTGCTTCCTATCTCCAGTGTCCTCAGCCCCAGAGACCCCCTGGGGCCCTGCCCCACAGCCTTCAGCCAACTCCAGGATGGGCGGGGGAGGTCAGGCATCCACAGCCCTAAGTCTGGGCCCAACCCCGTCCAGGAATACCCAGGTTCCCGCCCCCAAGGAGGCTCTGCCCAGCCCCTGGTGTCTGTCTTCCTGTTGCCCTGACAGCTGGCAAAGGACTAAGGCCCTCCCTGGGTCTGTCTGGGGCTTGGCTCAGGCCTCCCCACCCCCGCAGGAGCCATGCTGACGGGAGATGCGGAGGGCTCTGCATGAGTCATTGTGTCCCTGGCAGACACAGGGACCAGTGCCAACCCAGACCTCCAGGAGCTTTGGGACAGCCAGGGACAGAGTGCAGGGCCTTCAGAGGAGCCACAGACCCCAGGCCTGCTCCAAAAGTTTAGCACCTTCTTTCAACAAACATGTGGGCAGCCCCTGGCCACTATGGAGCAGGGGTTCCCCAAAAGCCAAGGAATAAACACCCACCTGCAGGGTGTGGGGGCAATAAGAGCTGCTGAGAAACAAGGTAGGGGTACACAGCAGCAGTGTGGGAGGAGCAGGAGGTGAGCGTCCCCCACCCATCTGGAAGAGCAGCACTGTCTGGGGGGACCAGGCCTACAGCCTCCAACCTCCTACTGACTACTAGGAGGACCCGGCTCTGATTCCCAGAGTGGTTTTAAGAGACGCGGCCTCCCCAGCCAAGCGGAGCTGATGCTGGTGGCTCCCAGGGGCCTACCCTGACTGCCCGTAGGTGGAGACGGGCCACACCCAGTGCATCCAGTACGTGCAGTACACTGTCCCGGCTGCACCCGAGGCGTCACCTCCGAGCCCCGCGTTCTCCCTGACCTGGAAACTGCGCGGGGACCATGACGAAGTCGTCTGTGTCACAGGAGTCCTTGCTGCCGCCAGAGTCCCGGGAGCTGTGCAGGAAGCCAGCGGTGTCAGCCGGCGAGGTCAGGGTCTTCTGTAGCTGCTGCATCTCGCCCAGGGACTGAGAGTCAATGGAGGGGCTGGTGAGCAGGTCTCAGGGACACAGACACTCAGGAGAGCAAATCCCCCCTCCTCTGGGACGGCCCAGAGCCCCAATAAAGATCAGGGGCGCTGGGGCTGAGAAGGGCTGGGGGCATGTTTCTTCCCGTGCTCTGCTCTCCTCTGTACTTCCAGAGGACTCCACTCAAAGGCCGGCCTTGACCTCGCAGACACAGGCCCCCCGATGAGCCACTCCCACCATGCAGCCTGGGTGGGTTGAAGCCCTCAGTTCCCAGAAGCTCTGGGAGGCCCTGTTTTGGGGAGTTGTTCACCACCTGCCCTCTGCACCTCACTTTTCTGTTTGCATAGCCAAGAGAGCGAGATGCCATGGGGGTCGTGTCCAGTGAAGAGGCTGCCACCCCCAGTGGACCCTGCTCTGAGGCCAGTACCATGCTAAGGCCCAGCGCACACCATCCATGCGGTGGTGGCTAAAGCCCCAAGTGCCCCAGGGCAGCTGTGCAGAGGGCCACACCTCCCTACAGCCCGGTGCTGCCACACTCCCCTCACCACATCTGAGCTTCTGGCCATGATACAGGCAGACAACCAAGGTCAGAGGACCGGTCCCTGGTCACAGAGCAGGAGGCCAGGCCAGGAGAGCCCACACACAAAACTCTACCACCAGCCACCACACCATGCCCAAGAGCCAGGTTCCAGGTCAGATGGACAGAGGCATGGGGGTTCATGGCCGACTCAGGTGCTCTGCAGACCCCTCCCATGTCACACAAGGAGTGCCACCATCATGTGGGGCCATCACCCTGCAACCCTACCCATGCTGAGTCCAGTGGAAGACACCACAAAGGAGGCCAGGGGTGCAGGTGCCAGTGGGCCAAGGCCACACGCTACTTCTGTCTGCGTCAGCACAAAACCAAAGACAGGACCAGACCAAACAGCCGCCCTGTTGGCCTCTGGGACCTGAGGGCTGTGGGTGCTGGCAGGGGCCGTCGCCTGTTTGTGGGGCTTCACCATCTACAGGACGAACTCATCCATGTCTTTCGTGACTCACACAGACAACAGAAGTCACAGCACGTCCCCGCGGGGGCCCAGGGCTGGAGCCCCTGACTGCTGAGTGCGGGGAGAAGCTGTCAGGCCCCTGGGGCGGCAACTCACCGGCGGGGAGGCCAGGTGGGAGGTGGAGCTGCTGCTGGAGCTGCTGCCGGACCCCGAACTTGGGTACGAGGGCACAGGCACCGGTGGGGCTGAGGGAAACATGCATAGGTCAGTCTGGACCATCCTCCTGTCTCCTCACCCTAGAGCCAACCCACGAACTGGACAAGCTCAACCGTATCCCCTCCACTTCCCGCTACAACCTGACCAGCAGGGAGGGAGGCTCCCTCCTGGACCACCCCATGACAGTCACAGGGCAGCACCAGCCCCTCCAACACCCCATCCCCATCCCAAGCCTGCTGCATCATCACGCGCACCCTGGCCTTGGGGTCTCCGCTGCAGCAGAGTGAGGGGCCGAGTGTTCTACCCTCCCTGGGAGCTGCCGCAGCTCAAGACCTGCTCCCTCTACCCCACACTCAGTGCCTAACCAGACCCCAGGAGGATGGGGTGTAGGGCCCATCCGGAGCCCCAGGACCCACAGAAACTCACACTTCCTGACGGAGGGGCTGGCATCGAGGAAAGGGTGATGGAAAAACTCATCTGCAGGAGGAAGGAGGAGTGAGGCCTCAGGAGGCCCCCGCCTCCCCAGGGCCTGAGCTCCCGTGGCAAGATGGGCACCTGCCCGGGCAGAGGTGGAGCCCCTGCCTGCGCTTGGCTTGTGGAAAGGGCAGTGTGCACGTGGGGCTGGGTGCGAAGCGCTCTGCTCACATCAGCAAATGCAAGGAGGGAGGGTGGGGGGCTCCGGCTGCACCCCCGGTGGGTGCTCACCGAAGTCCATGCGGTCCTTGTGGTTGCGCTGGAGCAGAGCCAGGAGCAGCTGCCGCAGCGGGGCCGAGGTCTCCCGGGGGATGCTGGGGTGAGAAGAGGCTGCTGTGAGCGGGGCCTGCGGGGCCGGCGCCCGCGGGGGAAGGGAAGGCAGGAGGGCGCTT